TCTCTCTCTCTCTCTCTCTCCTTTCTCTGCCCCGTCCTGCAAGGACTTGGTGTTCAAAGGCTCTCGCGTCACCTTCCTCAGGTTGGCAGCCAAGGGATGAAAATAATAGGTATGGGATACTGTGATGGGTGATGGCGGCGATGAAAACATTCATGGAGAAGCCCAGGTTCTTGTGCGAGTCATCTTGACTTGTATATCAACTTTGGAGGGGTGATTATTGATGTTCAATCTGCTTGCTGCTCTTGGATCAACCTGACCCTTGACACAAACAGGGCTGAGGGCCAGTAGTGTTCAAATTCACACTCCCGGGAAATGATGGAAGTGCTGCAAAAAATGCTCAAACTTTGAGCAAGGACTGACAGAAGTACAGAATCCAGAAGCTAAGAATACATTGTCTCCATCAGAATGCTGTGACTGAAGGAATCGACGAAAACAACCGAACCCAAACTCCGCAGAGGAAGTTGTGCTTGTTGGCAAGGCAAAACACTTGCGAACAAGGCACCACAGGCGAGACATAGATTCACCCAATTGCTTTTGCTCATGGGTCTGCTCTTGCGCAGGTAAGTGCTTGTTCATGGTCCATGCCGCGTACACCTCATCCTGCAAGGACAACAAGAAGAGAAGCTGCCCGACCAAATCCACGGATTCACGGTATGAAATGAACTGTGCCATTCTAGAGCAGTTGGAGATGGGGGGTTGTAACATGTGTTTCCCTAACGATCAAGTTTCCCTAAAGGTTACAGTAAGTTTCCCTAAAAATCTAGGAAACCAAGTCATTAGTGCGAGCGCTTCTTCAAGGAAGCTCCCCCCCGGCCTTCTTGCGGCGGGAGCTTCCTTGAAGGAGCATAAGCTATCCTACATCCCTAGGAGCTTCCTATTGCTAGTAAGCTGCTAGTAGCTTACTCCCTTACTTAATTAAGTCGGCGCCTACTTATCTAAGTAGGAGGACGGGGCCTCGGGGCCGGAATGGACCCATGGACCCTCTGGACATCGACGCTTTTGAGTTGCATGTCTTCGGCTCCAAGCTCGGCTCCTGTGCCGCCTGCTGTAGCCGTTGCACACCAGAGCGCACGTCCTCAATGGCCTCCTGGAGCACCGGTTCGACATCAGAGAAGAGCAAAGCAACAAAGATCGAGACAAACGTCTTTTGTTGCTTTGCTCTTCTCTTCCTCATCATTCCATTGCTCACTCACCAATGTTTACCTTCCATTGGTCCTATTGGTCACATCTTTAGCCTTGTCTCTTTGTCACATTCTATCTGCTCCTTCGAAGCCTTTGAGAGCTGTGGTAGTACAGGCTGAGCCGGGTGTAGAATGTCAGTAGAGCTTTTGAAGTCCTGTGAGAGGAGCGCCGGAAACCTTCTGACGACATAACATTTGGTGATCTCGAGTCAATGCCAGGGTGGTCTATTATTGTCAAATCATGAGCCAGCCTCTATTGTTGCCCTGTACTGTTGGAAAGAGTCTTTGTATGCTTCTAGCGCTATGTAGATTGTGAGCAGCGTTGACACTCACCCAGCAAAGTGTGTTGAAAGGATATATAATCTACATAGCTTCACCATACACAATCATAATCAATCATACATTGCTGGACCTGCTTCAACTGTTCGTTTTCGCGCACCAACCGCACAACCAACACCAATTGTCCTTGCTTGCAATCTTCAGGCGCGGCAGAACCGGCTGTGCTGGGTGAGGCACAGGTGCCCATTCCTTGCGCGCATTTCTACGTCTTCAGGAATTATCAGGAATTATGCTGAATCCACCGGTGATTCATGGGTCATACGACAACTCCTGGGCTCCTTGGAGGGCGGTCCATTTGGAATGTTCAACTGTACACTGTACAACAGAACTTCTGCAGGTCAACGATATGACAGAACTGAACTTGCCTCCTTTGCTTTGAAATGGTATGCTTGACTGAAATCAAAACATGTGTATATGCAGTAATTATTTCTACAGCGATCAAACAAGCTGGCCATATCAAGTAGAATCAAACACTATGATGCACTCATACTGTTTCAAACATGTTGTGTGCATTGTAATATAACTGTATACAATCTGATCATGTCTGATCAGTGTATAGCATATAGTACTAAAGGGAAGTGATTGAATAGCCAGCTGGTGGAAGGAACCTTGGTGTCCAATTCAGTGAAATTTGTCACCTTGACCTTCGAACGCATCCCCTGTGCCTCTGATGTGTCCAGGAGTGTCACTGCCTGCGGAAACCAAAACTCCAAACGTTAGCAATGTCTCACATTGAGACAACGCCACACTGCAAAAATGATCTTGCACCGTTTTTGGTACATACAGCTCAAACATTCGGCCACACACGCCACAGAGTATTACTGGCAACACAGAACACCACAACTTTAGTGCAAACTTGCTAGCAGAAGAGCCTGACCGTGGCCTAGGGTTTCCTTCCCCAAAAGATTGGTTAAGGCTCTTTGACCTTCATCCATGTTGTTCCCAACAAATTAAAGACGAACATGTTCAGCTAGAAGCGTAGCCAAAAGCAGGAGTCCTGCCAATGCAACCAATATGACGGCCCCGTGCGCCCGGAGCCTGGGCAGCTTTCTTGTCTTTGGTGTGCTTGTGATCCTTCTCACTGGCCTTCTGAACGGCTTTCTGCCCTTCTTTCTGACCCTTCGCATGTGCCATATGCCTGAAAGACAAGCCAAGTCGGAAGCGCATCGCTTCACTTTTTGGCGGCAACACCGGAATAAGCCGAGTCGCGTCTTGTCAGGCCCTGGCACTGCTGCTGAGGCCTTCGGCGGGGACTTCTAAAATGGATCGGGGTTGCCTCCATCCTATACCTCTAAATCTTGACAGACAAAACTCTTTCTCGCCATCAAACACTTAAATATAGACATCCACATCTTCGATGGATCATTCTTCTCTTTGATTCCCATCTTACCCGCTCTCGTTGTTGTGCCACTGCCTGCATTCTCCCACAGGAAACCGAAGACCGACTGCAAAACCCCGATGGAATCAGAAAGAGTTTATTCAAGTTTGGTAGAGTTGACACGCATCCAATGCAAATACTGTCGAACACCAAATGTGCCGTCGAACACAATTCATATGCAATTCGATCTACAGGACTAAAGCAGTGTAGATCTGACAGGCTTTGTCGGGGTTGATCTGACAGGCAAACAATGCAAAAAGTAACTACTGGATGTCTGTACGCACGCGGTCTGCATATGTGCGCCTTGGAGTTCTGTTCATCGCTGTCCTGGTGATGATCCTCTTTCTGATGATGAGCCTTCTGATGACCACCTTGCTGATGGTCGGCCTTCTCATGACCAGTTTTGGGATGCCTGTCTTTCTGATGCCTTCCTTTCTGGTCACCTCCTTTCTGCTCAGCATCCTTGTGCCCATCTGCCTGATGCCTCCAAAGCAAGAAAGTTGTGCAGGGTGTCTTCAGCGCACAGTCTAGGGAAAGCTTGTAAACATTTACGGAATTCACATGTATCAAGAACAGACAAAGTGATGCTGCTGGTTGCCAAGTAGCTTCTGATCAATGCTCTCTTCCGGCACCCACTCTCCAGCCTCAGCGCCAAGAGAAGCAATTGCAAATGAGCAAATCAAGGCACTCTTAACTGCAGAAGGAAAAGCAAAGAAAAAAACAAAATGAGAAATGGAGCGACTCCAATTCTAACTTAAATTCATAGTGTCAAGGTTGATTGAAGTTGGATGCAACAGCGCAACAGCTTGTTTGAACAATCCTTCCGAACCACATACACCTTCAGCATACTTTTGCACTTCAATTGTTCCTCGACCCCATTGCCGATGCGGTCCCACCTGCCGATGTCCGTCACCGGTCGGAGTCCGACCCTTCCCAGACAGGTCTGCGTACGAGCGACATATTGGTTCATGTAGTCTGCATAGTCTTGGACTCCACCCATCTGCATACCTGTGGATTGCATGTGTCCACCTGTAACCTAGCCACTCCTGCACTAAAAGTGTCTGTTCATGACCACAGAAGCCAGTGTAACCAAACCTGCTCGGTACAATGACATTCTGTATCATGCATACAGGCACAATTGAGGACATGTCAGGCAAAGAAAAGCGGCTATCCTTGATTCAAGTTCAACAGCTCATATATCAGCATATATCAGCTATACGCTGGCCGCAGCACGGTAGTACACACGTATCAATTGAAACAATTTAAATGTTCATTGCTTGACCATTGTTCCCATGCGTCTTCCGCATCTTTCCAATTCTCAGCAGCCTCCCGAGGCAAATTCTTTCCCCTCGTAGTCAAAGGCATTGTTCCTGGTTCTCATGGCTCTCAAAATCTCTTATCTCTTGACACAAAGCAGGACAACGTCTTGCATTCAGTCTGTTCAAATCTGTTCAACGTCTGCATACTGCATACTATACTATCTGAAAGCAAAGTTCAATGTATCCTTGCAACATGAAATAAATTGAAATATCATGGGTCAAGCCATGTGCTCAAGAACCTGAACTTGGGTGGAAACGACCTCGCATTGTCTGGGACATCCCGACCCGCCCTCGTCAGTGGCATACTGCACGACCCAAGGCCTAAAGCAACACAAGCACAGCAGCACAGCCACCTACATATTGGAGTCTAAATATATATATATATAGAGAGAGATACATAGCATTCATATATTCTAATAGTTACATCTACAATAGTTACTATAGTCGTAAGGGGTAGTCAAGTCATCGGATTGTTGCGAAGGTCAAGAAATGTCTAACATGGAAACCACGAGGATTTGGAAGCGCGACCAGCAGGTGCTATGAAGTCGTTAAGAGTGTCAGTTCTTGTTTAATCATGTTCAATCTGTGTAAAACGCCTGCACCCGACAAACATGGAAAAAGAAAATTCTATTGAGCCTCTGCTGCATAGTGCACAGTCATGACTGATTGTACAAGATACATTCGACCATGTTGCAGCCGCAGATTGTCCTAAAGTGTACATGAATTCAAGGAGCTTCCAGAACATGGAAGCCAACAATTACAATTAATTAGGTAGGACAAGACATTGTTTCAATTGACAGGGTGACCTAAAGAACATGGACCTCACAGCTTGTCTTGCCCGCCCGAGTTGGTCGCATCTGATGTGAGATGCTATCGGTTATACATTGATTCAGCGAATCTCCACTCTGCCGAGCTCCCGCACCGCGCAAAGGGTTCGTATCCTACTTCGTTGCCGCCTCCGCCACCCTCGGTCTCCTGCACGAACGAGGCACACCACATGCAATTGCGTTTACATACGACTATACATTGAAATTGACAATATGAATATGATGACATCGAGACCCAAGCCAATCAACCATTTTCTTCGTCCGTCATGCAGCAGTTCAAAGTTGTATCTATCATGAATCAAACAAAGCGTTGGCAGAGCATTCTAGGTTATCAATAAAGGACCCGGACCATTCAGCCCTCTTCTGACTCATGACTGACTATTGAAATGTACTTGGAGCCGAAAGTAGGCATCAGCTGTCCTTCTCACCACCACCACCACCAGAAGGAATCCAAGGCATTCCTAGTCAAAGAAAGGCGCATCGTCTTCCATGCTTGGTCCAATTGGTCATGCGAAGAACGACCAAATAGAAACGAATCAAAAAGGAAAGTTCCTGCTGATTGGAACATGACACCGGAACCCTTCACCTCTTGGACCACGGTTTGGGATTTTCCGATCACCTGAGTGCTGGTCGCCTTCGACACAGCTGTAGCATCTGCCTACTCTCTCTGCATGAACCGCTGCGTGGCAAGAGAAAAGCCGCGCCTCCAGATCCAGATCCTTGCGGCTGGCCTCCTCGCGCTATCAAGAAACGTCACGCAATCAACTCTAGCGAACGCCACCGAAATGTCCACGCACCGAGTTGGAGGCCATCGCTTCTAGGTTGGAGGCCATTCCTATTAGGTTGGAGGATGGTTGGAGGCCATCGCTCTTAGGTTGGAGGCCATCGTTTCCAAGCTCAGCATGCCTTGGCTGGATGGGTTAAAGTTAAGACCTTCGCGGGTCGATTCATGTTTCTGCCACTCCTCCACCAGCTCCAGAGCTGCCACCTTGGCCCTCACCCATGGTACCTGGCAAAAAGCATGATTCTACTTTAAATGGCTTGCAGGCTCAGCTGTTTGGGATCAGGCGGTCTGGGACCCGACAGCAATATTTGCTCAGTGACCCAAGAACTTGGGCCATTAGGAACCCTTTGCACATCAAAAGACTTGAGAGGGGGATCTGGCGATCTGCTTTTCACAAACGCCATATCAAAAGTACCACGTGGCTGTACCAAATGGCTGGAACCTTAACACCCGTCAGACTCCATGAATTTCGATTATCAAATACGATGACAGGCTACAGTTGTAATGATTTACCGTGACCGTAGTTTTTGTGTTTTTACAACATGCTAACGATCGACATCGAAGCAGCTTGCCAGTCGCGCCAGTGGCCTTTTCCAACACCCTGACCACCATTTCCAGTTCGTTCCTGCGAACAATCGGCAATGATCGCTACTAGTAACAAGTGCATCGCTACTAGTAACAAGTGCCTTGCTAGTAGTAACAAGTGCCACGCTACTAGAAACACATGTGGTGAAAGCCAAGTCAGATACGGACTGTAGGGAAGGAGCTGGTGAAAAGTCCGCCCATACAGCTAGGTCATAGCATGTTCTAGTTATAGCAGCAGCCAAAAGCAAAAAATACTAAGCAGCAAATCTGTGTTAGAAGAACCCCCAAACCAGTGATCAGAAGTCCATCCTTGTGACTCAACTAGTGTTTGAACAGCAGCGCCTCAGTTGCCTGCTCAGCAAAGTTTTCGTATGGCCCAGGAATGTACAAGTTGTACGTTGTGACCATGGACCTGGATGCCCAGCTTCAAAAATATTGGTTTGTGAGCCATATGACTGTCCAACGTCATTGAACAGAGACTGCTTCAACACACTTGCAGAGTGCGCTTGTCTTTGCAACCCAAAACCCCAAGAACTGAAATGTGATGAAATGTGTCATCCACTGTGCTTCGGCATGTGTCGTCCATATATTTATAGATGCGTGCATTGATGATTTAAGCGGAACCATCCGTGTTTCAGTTCAATCTTCTGCTGGGACTCCGGCTTGTTCCAAGCGTCGAGCTGGGATTTCCTCGTTCCGAAGTCAGAACTGTGAGGTGTTTGTTTCAACAACGTAAAAATAACAAATTTGGTCAATCAGACAGTCACTCCGAAGAAAAGGAAACGGGTGGTCATAGACCCAAAGCGCATCAAAACACCGATCAACGCTCCATGGTTTATAGGGCATCCCATGTCCTCACTAACACACACCAAAATGGAGCCATCCGTGTTAGGGAAGGAAGGGCGGGGGGGTGCAGGTGTTACACGGAAGAGTTGTTTCTCCACAGTGAAGACCTGAACAAGGAACACAGGTCCCGAACTCAGAGTGTTGCTCACGGTCTCAGCCGTAGGCATGCTGAATGTTGCAATTGCCAGCCCTATGGATGCGAGTTGCACAGCAATACGTACGACACAGAAGTACAAGGGAGTACAATAATGGTGAAAGAAAAAAAAAACATTTACACATACCATGTCCACCAGCAAAACTTGGAAAAATCAGTGTGAATATATATATATATACATATATATGTATATGTATGTATATAGTGTTATATATATAGTTATATAAATTTCTCTGTTCTGATCTGGCCTTTTACAGGGAAGCTCGTTTTTATTCCTCAGCCCATGCAAAAAATGTCGAGTTGACCGTCGTGACTCTCCAAATTTCGAAGAGGAGAGCAAGGCCAATGCATGCTTGTGAGGCGCGAGTCAACAGGCGCGGAAGGCACAACGCTCTGATTGGCCAGCAAAGCACTGAGCGGTTTCTTTTCAAAGAAGCCCTGTGCTCGTGAAGCAGGAACTCGAACAAAGACCCAACGTGTTTCAGCTTTTTTGCTTCGTTGACAAAGGAAGGTCGCTTCTTGAAGGTATTCCAGAGTGGCAATCGATCTAATAAGACGGAGTCGCCAGAGTATGGTCGAAACTTCAGCGTTGTTCTTGTACGACCAAACAGCTGCTTTGCACAAAGCCCTGCCTCCCTGAAACTCAACGCCGGCTTCTGGAGTTAATCGTTCTGTGTCCTGATTGCCCATAGCAATCTCCGCCCAACATGGATCCAGGAGTCGTCTCGTCGAATACGGCAGATGCGGCAGATCGCCGTGGAGAGGATTCGGGCTCACATGCTGGGACAATATTGCAAGCGGCGGCGGACGGCGGAGGGTTCAAAGACAGCTCTGCCGCCAGATGCCCTCTACAATCGCATGGATCTCTTCTGGGCCCTCCACCAAGGCTTTGTGCAACGCTCTCCTTGCGGCAGCGAGCTTCCCGCTTCCGATGGCTGAGGAGTTTCGTCACTGTTTGAGTTTCTCAGCCCTTTTTGTTCTCATCCTCTGATTTGGACAGCACGTCCAACTTCCGTGGACGGGTTCCGATGCCACCTGAACATCACGCATCGCAGGAAGACCTACGAAGATAGAGTCTCCGCACTCCTGGCCCGTTTGAAAGCTGCCTTAGCCGATGCGGGCGGGACTGAATATGTGTCGTCAATGGCCCTGATGACAATCCAGTAGCAACTGCTCAAGGCAATCTTCTCACGGCTGCTGATGCCTGGGCGCTGGCCTTCCAGCGAGTTCTTCAAGAGTTGACTGATCTCACGACAAGCTGAATCACGAGCAACGCCTGTCAAATTTGCCTTAGCTTCACGGGAGCAAACGACAGAGACCTGGGTCGAATGGTGGTGGATGGCTCAGTGAACAACGTGCGTTGGTCGGCTCTCAACGAAGACACGCCGCACCTCAGTTCACTCAACTCTTGGCGGACCTGGGTTCAAGCTTGAGGGCAGACACTTCTTCCTGGAGTGATGCCACCAAGCTCTGACTCATGTGGAGATTCTGTACAGCTAGCTGTCTGAGTCTAGGTCCTCACAACTCCAGCGGCTCACAAACACGTGTAGTCAGAGCCCCAGCCGGTACGAAAGGATCACCTCTGCCAGGGGATAAAGGAGCAATCCGATGCACAGCGAAGCAAGGTCCAGCTCCTAGGGCAACTCTGGGCAGTGAAGAGGTGGAGGATAGAGCAGCGGCGGATCCAAGGCACGCAATGCAATGGCTAGCACGCTCCCGTTCCCAAGGGCTCGGAGCATTCAGACTTGTTCCGGCGAACGGTCGAAAAAGCATCAAGGATCACATCCTGGAGCCCTTGAAGGAGCCTTTCAAGTCTTCGATTCGATCATCCAGTGGAAGAAATCAAACCTCTAAACAGGGGGATATCCTCCCTGATGTATTTTGCGAACGTCAAACGGCTCGCACAGTTGGATGTGTGGCACTGAGACCTTTACCCTCTGAAAAATAGACCACAACTGCTACAGCATTGGCCATACCGATCCTGCTTTCGGACTCGAGGCATGGGTGCGCCATGTATCTCTACTTGCGCGTATACTCCGACTCTGAAAACTAAAAGAGACAAAAAGGAAGCAAACAGCTTTGCCCGACAGACGAGCGTGATGCGGCTCCTTTTCGGCATTCAGATCTCTGTACATGTTCTGGACACCAGCTCGCCTATGTTTATTAGGACAAGTCAGCGTCATCAGGCACTCCAAAGAGCAAAACAATATGCCATACACACATTCAGTTCCAAGCCACTTCCCCTCTGATTAAGGAAGTCAACAACAGGTGATAGTGGGTTCTCTCGCAAGTGGCTGAAGCCTTGTTTGCTTGGGTGTCCAACCAATCTTGTTGGCTTCAAGAACACCTTCTCGTCGGGACCAAAGGTCTGTACAAACTCCTCCACAGCTCGGCAGATGCCTCGCCAAATGGCCAGACAAAGGCCTCAAATCGGGGCCACCTTCCAGCCATCCCGAGTATAACGTCCTGCGCAAGCAAAACAAGTTCGAAGGCTGCGAACATCGACGGCCCTAGTCGCCTTCCCTAGGCCCTCGTGCGACCATCAGACCACACAAAACACAACTGGGTCCACGGTAGGTGACCGAAACTGTCGAAAGAATTCGACCTCCCTGGCCTCCCAAAAATCCTCACATATCAAAGCCATCAGCTGTGTTTGTTGGCTCTAAAATCCTCTGCATTCAAAAATGCCGTAATTGAACATCTCGCAAACGCAGCAGTCCTGCACTCGTTGTCAGTAGTTCATCCTGGACGAACGGCAACGGTGCCAATGCAACTTGAAGGAACCGGTTGTGGTCTCGTGGTGCTCTGAAGATCTTTTATATACATCCTTCCAAATTAGAAAGGACATGTCTAATATTTTTGTTGGACATGGACTATCTTTTAAGCCGTTTGAGCTGCCTTTGTGCGGATTTATTAACTACTAGAAGTTAATTAATAACAAATACTACTTTCATTCATACTGGGCAGGCTGAACATGTTTTACAGGTGCCATACAACATGGCACATCAAAGACTTCATATCTTTGTCTGATGCCAACAAGTGCCAAGGCACGGCTCTCCCCCTTTTTACAGAAATTGGTTGCTTCCCAGTCTTCCCAATTCCAAAAAGGATAAATTAGTCGATTGATCCAACTATAGACCTATTGAAGATCACAGGCCCCATAGCCCTATGGCTGGCATCATATGACATGATTGCCCGAGCTTTCCGAGCCTTGGTGAATATTTTGTTGAACTTCTCTGTCGTTGTCCTGGCAGCTGAGGAATGCAGAACAAGTTTTCATACCTGTCGACGCTTCTTGCCTTACGTGACTGCATGTTCGTTCGAAGTGCGTCCCAGTATCGAGTCAATTCCATCAAATCGATCATTGACAGATACAAAAATTCGCTCCAGATTGTGATGTGCTGTGAAGTTCTATCTTTCAAATTTTGTTTACTATGTTCTACTTGTATCTGATCAGGATCTGTGTGTAGATACCATTTAGACTCAGTTTAGACTCATGACATGTCGGGCAGGAGAGCCGGATGGTGCCGCGAGCGGCCGCTAGCAGCTGTATTTCAGAAAGGCATGAAGCCATATTGAGCAATGGTGGCCACCAGAAGCATCGAAGGTGTAAAAGAAACAGAACGAGCGATCAACCCTCCAAATCCTCACGAGTGCCGTCCTGTCGTAGTTTTGATCTTCCTCTTCCTCTTCCTCCTGGACACATTCGGAGTCGCTTCGAATGCTCAGAGCAATTGATTTTCTCACCGGGTGATCCTAAATGACTCCGAAAGCCAACAATGATCCCCGACGAGAATGCAAAACCCGCACCAACGAGAAAAATATTGGGATCCATTGCCACCAATTGCAGCCAAGAGCGACCAAGACACACACTTGCTACTAGTGCCAAGAAGCTACTAGTAACTCCTGGCATTACTATGGTGGAGGCCATCGCTATTAGGTTGGAGGCCATCGCTGCTAGTAACAAGAAGCTGCAGTAACCTACAAACAAGTATTGTTCAGCCTCCTTGGATTGAGAGTCAGGGAGTCGAGCACATCAACCTGGTCAAACTTGCCTTTGGAGGAGCGAATTCAAGTTCTCTCATATCTAGATATTATGTTCGTGAATTGTGCCCGTCCGTGCAAGTCCATGCAGGATTGAACATGAACCAATAGAAAAACACCTATAAATACCCATAATGAGAAGCTACTAGGAGCAAAGGGCATCGCTACTAGGAGCAAGGACGCTACGAACGGGGCTCCTGGCATCGCTACTAGGAACAAGGACGCTACTAGGAACTATTTGGGGTGCCTGAAACTTCGTGCTCCTCGTCATCCTCGTGATCGTCTCTGTCCCAGGAGTCGTACCTCACCGCAAACAGGACTCTTTCGGACACTGCAGGCCGCGTGGATGACTTTGGAGCTGCCATCTGTGCTCAGCGACACAACACCAAGCAGTTGTCAACGCCACAGTGCTCAATCAACACCATTGAACAAGGCCTTAACTGAAAGTGTCGACCATTGTCAACATGTATATATAGTATTCCTTTAAGCAGTTGCCATCAGTTGCCGCTTTGAATCCACAAGACGACTTGAAAGTCTCCCTCCTGCCTGGTGCGTGAGACCCGTTGAGTCTCACGCCTGGTGGCTTCACCCGTGAGTTCCAAGACCTGTCCGACACAGTGATCCGGGAGACAAAGATCAAAGCGAGGAATAGATGTGTTCAGTGCCAAAAAAGCAAAAACACATCTGCAAAGCCACTTCATGGATCTTGATGACATTCAGATTTTCTACAGCATATGCTTCTATTGTCTTCTATCTATTTATGATATTTATCAATGTCAGAGGTTTGCAAAGTGAATTCACTGACACTACTACAAGTTCCATCTGTCATATGGGGGACCGGTCCATGCTTTTCAATTGTTTCATCAGGGTATCGGTTGTATATATTCTAATCACTGGAGCACTGGTACTGGTGGCGCCCTCTCAAATCGTTGCCATTCGCCGGCATTCGTTGGATGCCTCCTTCTTCTGGGTTGGGTCCCAACGAACCAGCCATGTACCCTGCGCTGTCACAGACCTTTGACAGCAGCCATTGGCCACTCAAGGTCTTTGACGGTCTCTGGGTGGCAAGAACACATCCTATCAATCGGATTGAGGCAAATACTGTAGGTACTTCGACTTGAGTGCACAAAAGCGCTTGACAATGCCACCACAAACAAAAGCATTAAGAGAACAACAGTTGTCAAATGTTGTCATCGTGAAGAATCACACGTTTTGGACATTCGAACTTCAACCCTGATTCAACACCCCTGTTCTTTCTATTCGGACATTCTGAGGTGGTTGCGAGTCGTGACTGTAGCCGCATTCAGCGTCATGGTCATGATGCTTCCTCTTGAATGCAAACTCACCACCTGCATCAATTCAAGCCATCTTATCTCTGAATTGTGCGCTCTGAAGTGCTGTATATAGAGACAACGAGATCTGAGACCATTGCACTTGGTGAAGAATCCGATCGTCGAATCCCAATGTTGTTTCGAGATGGACGGAGTTCCGGGCGGTTCCGGGCTGGGATTTCTCAAGGCATTTCTGGTCGTGGAGAGGCCACAAACCTTCTCGTTTGGAAAATATCCAGTTCTGCGACAGGGCGCTGTTTGTTTGCAGCAGCAACCGGGAACCATGTGAAACCAAAGCACACGAAAGCATGATGTTACTGGCCAAAGCACAAGATAAGAACACTCATGCCACATGTCTCAAGAGATTGTCTGTAAAAGACAGCGCCTGAGAGGATCCTAACCTCCACATCCTCTGAAGTCTCTTCCATGCCACAACGACGGCCGCGGATGTATTCCTCGCAGACCAAACACCGACGTTCAACATAGCATAAGCATCACCATTGCACCGCCTTTAAAACGGGTGCAATTCGTATGCCTGATTTGTCATGATTTGTCGATGTCTGTATATATCTCCTATTGCATTTGTGAAAAAACAAAATCTTCAGGACAGATCGTTGAGTCTCAACTACGAGCTATCGGTGACTGCGTGTGACGGCCTGGGTGAAGCACTTGTTGGTGCACCATTCTGGCTCTGAAGGCCTTGGCACCAGTACCGAAAACCAAGACATTGATTGCTTCCAAGAGTTGGTCCTGAATGAACTATGATTCCGCAGCCACTATCTGAATCTTAAGCTTGGTTTCTTTACACTTCTTGGCAACCCCTAAGGCATCATAAGGCCCTAACAACTTCGGATGCTCAGAAAAATTGGAAGGTCACCTCCAATTCTGTTGCTCACCCTGAATTCTCAACGTTGAGACAAGAGGGGAGGTGGCCCTGGGCGAAAGGGCCACTCGGATGGCCAGTCAAATGGGTTTCAAAGCTGGGCAGCTTTAGCGAACCAATCGAAGCAATCGAAGCTGAACGTTTCCCTGTCGAGCTGCACCACAACCAGCAGGTTGCAGCCAGAAAGATCTTTGATGCTTCGATCATCCTGCATACTGTCTGAGACTGACTGAGATGAAAGCGCGGGGCGAGAGTGGCATTCTTCCCTCATAATTGTCTACATATACACCGTTGTACACCTATATAGCTTGAGCACTAGCTTGAGCTTGTGACCTGGCTCAGCGGCTGCAAAGAGATGATAATGCATGAAAACTGACAGTTGGCAGTACACGAATAGATCTATGATGATCTATGGTGTGGGTGTCTTTTCTTTGCATTTCTTTGCGGCCAGCCACTCACAGAAAGCTCCTTCGAAAAGCATTCAAACAGCACACGGTTTTCTACTACGAAGCCACTCTTTGTCAGCTCTAGCAGAACCTCGCTGCTATCCTCTGCCACAAACATGACAGACTGCGTCTGATGAAGGGTCCAAGCAGTTCAAAGCCCTAAGCCCACAAAATACATAATAATGCAGGTGCTTGAATCGAAGCCTGCAATCTACCAGTGGCAAGCAGTTCCCCTTTCAATTTCACTGAATAGGAATGAACATGGCAGGATAATCCAGGCCACCTATCAGAATCCATGTGTTCACACAAAGAACATGCATTAAAAATGATTAATGTAAATGGTTCTAGCCAAACTGTGCCAAACTTGCATAAAGTTGTACTGTCTTGGATTGGTCATGTCAACCCTCATCCACACTGACGTTGAATTGGGAGGCCTGAAGCTCTTCCCCCGGGGCTGAGTCCAGGAATAGTGACACCGAGGACCTCAAATGCCAAAGGTTGATAGCAAACTCAGTAGGTGATCGAGTAAATCTTGTGACACTACTAGTAGCTTCTTGCTCCTAGTAGCGATGCACTTAGCTACTGGTAGCTTCTTGCTACTAGTAGTATGGCGAGGAGCTATAGGTCGTGTACTGTGTTCCTGAAAAAGACAAGAAAACAGTTTGAGCAATGTTGCTCAATGTACTTTCAGCGCCTCCCGAAATCGTGTCTGTGGCAGTTAAGTTACAGGCATTGACAAGTTCAGCACTTCCATCACTTTGCCTTTGACATCTGCGAGGGTCTCAGCCGCATCACCACTGACAGTGCCTTCAGCGCCGCTGATCATGCTGACCTGCCAGCGGATTTAGTGTACCAAGTTTATGTGGGTTGAAGACTGAAATAATCTGTCAGCGATTTCGTTGTGTTCTAAAAGGAAATGCTTCTGGACTTGAATGATAAAATAACATAAAATAACATCGTCTCATTCCGAAACTGACACGAGCCCATACACTAATCCGTCGCACTAACTAGGGCAACTAGTGCAGCAATCCAATATGACGTGAGTATTTGGAATGTCTCCGCCTTGAAGGTGATGCTACTCTCCGCCATGCTTTAGGCAGCTGCTTTGCTTGTGGAACACTTTGAGCTTAAATTGAAGCCAGCTTCAAGCAGCGTTCCTTCTCTGATGCGGAGATATTGTATCACATGGCGATATGTTAGAAGTGGAAGCAACGAACAGCAGTCAGAGCATCAAGACTCCAAACGTCTTCCTATGTCATCCTATTGCGTAAAACTGTTAACTCGTAAAACAAATGAAGTTGAGCAGACTGTGCGACCTGTGATCGACGAGGCAACGCTTCCAAACTGCTTCGACTCGACAGTCGAACTCGGAGGGCTCTTCGTAAGTCTGAAAGCTTGGCCGCCCTTGGCAGCCCTACCCTTTGCTGTTGTAGTCCTTTCCAGATGTCACATCAGCACCCGCCATGGAGGCATAGAGACCTGGGAGACATGATGGGATACCTCTCCTCAATTGTTCAGTCTCTCTCTCTCGCTCTCGCTCTCTCTCTCTCACTCTCTCTCTCTCTCTCTCTCGCTCGCTCTCTTTTTCTCTTTTTTTTTGCTCTCCGCTTTGTCTCCGTCCAAAAAATGCAAATCTTGCAAAAATTATCCGTTGGATCCGGCAGATTCCAAGTCAAACAAAATTCTTCAACATGGGAAAGCACAACTGAAATGACTGAGATCTCAGTTGGCTGACTCACGTACTGGTCGTAGTTTGCCTGAGGTCCACCGTACCTGGCTATCATGCATCAGTGGTTTGGCTTCTTCAACCACCTGAATGTCAAATGAGTGGCACAAATCAAGGTCCAGCCTAGAAAAAAAGTTCTCAGAAAAGCTCCAAACATCATTCCCCGGCTTCAAATTGTGCAGCACCCTCATGGGTCCGTGCGTTCTCCTCTATGGGGCACTGCTTGAGGTACTTCTGGTAGTCTCCAGATTTACCTTCGTTAGCTGAGTTGTACGTAGAGCTTACAACGTTCAGAGCTATGTAAAAATAGCTATTGGCATTTGCCAAATGTGTCAATTGGCCTTCAACAAGCAGCGACCAATGGCCCAAGACAGGTGTCGGGAGGAGCTCAGTTCGTCATAGGTCTTTGTTGTGAGTTGCACATATTGCAAGGCTCCAGCCCAGTCTGGCAAAAGTGCTACATGAGATTACATGAGCTTTTTTGTGAGTCCAGAACTTGGAACACATCACCAAAAACATCCATTGCAGCACAACCATTGCCAGCACCCGGTCTGAAGCTGGATGTCTGAAGCTCTTCCGGTCTCGTCACGCTGGATGCTCCCCAAGGCCTGAGTACTGGGACATGTAGCTTCGCCAAGACCTCGGTGAGAGAAGCTCAAGAGACGTCTCCATGAGATACATCTCAAGAGATGCCGTGGATACCACGTGAGATGCATCTTTCAGTGTCATCCGCCAGGCTTCCTTTCAGAAAAGAGTAACAGTAATTATCCAACCATTTGATGTAGCAGCGGTCAAGAGCACCATACACAAGAATAGCATAGAGTAGCCATGAACATCGTTTGATACCGCCTCCTCCCAAACCTTTGGTGACACCAGCTCCAGCTAGGCCTCCAGGCGAGTTTTCACCAACCCAACTGTCAGTGTAGTGCTCATCGCCTGGTGGCAGGTATGACCTCAGATTGCCACGTGAAAGCCTGAACCATCTTGCCTGCCCAGGATGCCGTAGCTATGCCATGGCTTGCGCATTTGACTGATACAGTCCCACAGTGATCTAAAGAGTTCAGCAGCGCCGAGTGATGTATCAGTATCCTGGATAGTTTCATGGCCATGAATCATGTGGGAAGGCTAGAATCCTGTAGCCAGTAAATCGCATGTCTTCGTGTTTTGGTGTTTCTAGCAGGATAGCATTACATGGTGAGGGCTCTGCATGAGGTACTTGTCGTTGAAGCTGTCTTGGGCATCTGCATCCTGGATACAAAGCAAACACCACGGGCAAGCCTCATCACACTATCATAAGTCAAACATCTCATGCATCATTATGTTTGGCAACTGTGGGCTTCTACAGTATGATCTTCTATGCTCAATGCGGCAGCTGTGAAGATGTCAAAGCAACTACCCTTGACGAACAACTCGTAGATAAGCCTACAATGAGCAACTTGTTTGCAACGTGAATGGACCCGCCTTGGCACTTGCAATCCAAAGATAGCATGCCACCACAACTGGCCAATTTCCATCAATTTCGTGACTGACCACAAAAAGTGCAGCGTTTGTCATCTTACCAAAATGAATCATGGAAGAATGCAGTGGGCCCAAGATCGAAACCTTCCACAACACTCAAAATGGTCTGTCGGTCTGCTTCCGAGTATTTCTGAGTTGTCCTCAGTCAGTCAATAGCAAAGTACACCAAAACATATACATAGAATTACGGTATCAACACACATGTCACATGGTCACATTGCACAGCACTCTAGAGTCTAGAGTTTCAGAGGTCCAAGGGAAGTTCTGCCAACAAAGGCTGAAGTGGGAAAATGCCTCCAAACAGCGGCGTCAAGAGATACAAGCTGGCTGCCGGCAAAACAGACGTTAAAAAGAAACCAAGTGACTGCCGAAAAGGCTCATTGCGTCTGAAAATCCAAAAACATGCAAGAACCAGTTCTGCCCGCCAGAAGCACGATTGAGCCTGCAGCAAAATGATGTCGCACCATTTGGCCCAAACTAAGTTGCACTCGCACTCACCAATTAACAAAAGAAAAAGAGCTGGACTATGTGTTCCCGCTGTACAGTAGCGTTGCTGAAGTCACCCCAATGGGCTTGAAACCCCTGAACATGCTGTATCCTTGAATCATTGCCAAAGCAATGCAATGCATGATGAAAGGCTTACGGCTTACAAGACAAACATTGCACATTTGCCCAACCATGTTGGGATCTAGAGCCAAAGGCGGACGCGTTCGGTGCCAGATGTCTTATTAATGTAGCATCCTGGGTCTCTTGACCATGAGTGGCCGATGGATCTCCGTACAAATCAAAGCATTCTGTCAACTGTGGCTGCCTGCTGTCGCAAGCAAGTCATGTTTTGAAGAGGATCTTTGGAATTCGGCTACTGCTGTCACTCTTTTGTTCCCCTGCAACTAAAGTCACTATAGCAACTCTTGACTCCGGCTACATGCTAGTATGCTTGAGCATACTCCAGCACAAAAAGACGAAGCCCCTTTGGGGTCGCAAAAAACATTATCAAAACACGAGGTTCAAGATGAGGGAACGTAATGAAATATCTCAGCGGCTTGGTTTCGCCCGCGAAGAAAAGCTGCAAATTAATGAATGGCCAGCTGGCAACTAGAACTTGGCAGTTTTCCATCAGAAGTGAGAGCGCATGCATGCGCCTTCAACAATAGGGCAGCTTCAGGCAACGGTGGCCCACATGCAGGTGTCTGTTCAAATTCGGATCAGTTAAGTACAATGTAAGCATTTGCTAAGATGCTCAAAGTGCGTGTCACAATCTTGGGGACAAAATCCATCAGCCGAAATAAGTATATGTATATAATATATATAACAAGCACAATAAACCTTCTGACTGGCCCAGTCTCTTGGCATACTATTATACATATTAAATATAGCACTACATTATATTATATGTATATATATATATATGTACGATTGAGCAGTATGTCATGGTGTGTCTATGTGTCAGCAAGAATAATATACGGAAACCTCAACTCAGGCCAGCCTCGACGCCAATCTACCGCACGGCTGGCATGGACATAACACGTGCCAGTGTCTGTCCTGGCAGTATCGTGAAGGTCGTGGGGTCTTACTAACTTACTGTTTCTGAATCATACGTCCTACAAACTAGGACACTTTGAAAGAATAAACTGCCTTTTCTACTTGGAACAATAAAGCTACTTTGACTCGCAGTTTCTACATGATAGTGCTGGGTGATGTAAAGTTGCCACACCGTAGTCCTGTCTCTGATCCAGCAGGGTTCATCTCCAAAGGCAGCCTCATGTTGAACACATCAAGCATCGGAAATGAACTGATGGACCAATGGATGAGGCAGAAAGGTTTGATTGTGGCTAATAAAGTCCAGGTTCTTGTCTGACTACCTTCACATCTTGGGTGGCCAACAGGAATTACAGTACCTGATGTGGATTGACAGAAAGAAACAAACGAGATAGGTGGTGACCTTTAGGTCCGCTTTCTCAGGAGGTCGTCCCTTGGTACATGACGGTACATGTGCCCAATTGATGTGACCTTCAGGCCTCAGGCACTCCAACTCAGCTTCATCTACACGTTGCGGGATGTTCATGGCATGGTCTTCTCCATTGCAGCAATGGAATAGCAACGAATTATACTGATTGCCATGCGCAGCTGACTGCAAGGGTTTTTGCAAACAAAGTGCTTTACGCTGAGAGATCTCCAACAAACGAACGAACCAGGTCCAGGCACATATGGTCACAGGAGAATCGTTGGTATTTGGGCAGCACCAGTGGAGGTCGCGGTGGGGTGACCTGCCACGGGAAGCTCCAAGCTCATTCATGTCATTCCACTTCAGTGGCTCTGGTCTTCTCAACACAAACGCCACTCTCTACGGGCCGTGGTGCGGCCGCAGGTCCGGGTCATCCGAGGGCAAACGCGGCCTCGACAGCAGGCATCACAAAGGGTGGCGGTCCGAAACGCTCCTGTCGGAGAGTGCATCAACCATGTCGGTGCCAAAATCAAGCATCAGTCAAGTCAAGTGGAACACATACTAGTAGGAAACTGAAAGCCCAGAACTCTAAGAGTATTGCTTGGAATGTAAGCCAGGCAGGATCTAAGCCAGCAATTTGTGTGGGTCCATTTGGTGTAACTAGGGCATCAAAAACCTGGTGGAACATCAAGCAACAGGAACGGGGGCTGGGTCTTCTGCTGTCTCTTCCATAATTGTCCATTGTGACAAAAAGCATCAAAAAGACCTTGTAAGTGTAAGTAAGTATGAGGTGAGTTCAATGGAAGGGCACGAGAAAAACACACAACGATTCTGCAACACATTAGACAAACATAGGCTTTGCTGCTCTCCTTGGTGTCCTCACCCACGTATTTGCTCATT